GGAAAGGTCCCTGCAGGATGGGGGTCATTCCCTTTCGACATGCTCTGTCCACATATTAAGACCATAGCAGGCAATACCCAGTGACCGCAGCCTGGCAGAGGGATACCCAGTGACCGCAGTCTGGCAGAGGGATACCCAGTGACCGCAGCCTGGCAGAGGGATACCCAGTGACCGCAGCCTGGCAGGGCGCGATACTCATGTGTACAGTATTGCTGTACTCCAGCATTGTTGCAAAATACAAATATTTACAGAAGTAGGACACACATGGTCTGTGGAACGCCCAATGAAAATGAAACAAGGAAAAATAAAGAACTATAACCAGCACATTTGGCAGGGATTGATGATAACAGTCACTGAAAAAAAAATAATAATAATATATTTATAGTTTTAGGAGACCACATTTTGCAAAGGGTTAGATTTAACAGCTTAATTCTCACCTTGCAATACTTGTTCCATTCATAGGCAGAAAGATGTGAACTACTAAAGTATGGAAAAAAAGTGTCACGTGCAATAGATGTTCTACAATTTCTTATTATCTTGTATAAATTTCTCATGGTGTGTAATGTTAAATAAACACTTTGTGTGTAAATATATACATATACACACACAAAATATTTTGTTTTCTTTTATTGGAGGGTTTCTTTTGTTTATAATTATTATTGGCATATACATAGCATCAACTTATTACGCAGTGTTTTACAATATTATAAAAGGAGTAAATTTAACAATAAATTAGAAAATTACAAAGTGTTACAGGAACAACGGTTGATGAGGAGCCAGTCAAACAAGCTTACACTCTTCTGATTCCTTATCGCCCCACTCAATTTCTGCATTGAAACTTACCTATAGTCCAGCGCCAGGAGAGCGCCCCTGTGAAAATCATCATTACTGATGACTTGTGTCCAATAAAATGGTTTTCACAGATTGGCACTGGGGCATACCTTGCATGAGCAACCAATGCTGTGATTCGCAAACAAAGTTTCTCTGTAAAGCACTCAGTTCTCTGCTTTCAACTACAGTTCAACGAGTAGACAACTCTGTGTACATGAAAGCTGGGAGATGTTACTAAAGGGGTTCATCAAACTGCTAAAACTACTTTTATAAAATAAGTCAGAGGGTACATGCAGTTTTCCCCTAAAGCACTTCACCAAGCTGACAAACGGGTTTTCCATCATAATTGCCTTAGCAGATTTACAGATGTCCCAGTAGTAGCTCCAGGAATTGAATATAATTTTAATATCCCAATAAATGCGCATTATGAAACTAGACTTCCATTAATGAGGTTTACTGGCCTCTTGTAACATGACAGTACAGAATGGCCACATTGAACATACTACTAGCGGGTTTAGGGGGAGAAAACATTAAAAATGAAGTTAATATTTTAGGCCAAATTAGCTGAATTAGAGAAAAAAGAAACAGCTACATTTCTAGTTTGGCAATTTTGGCTTAAAATGTTAAACTCAGGGAATAACCATGAAAGCAGGAAACACTGGTAGGAAAGCTCCCTGCAAGATGGGGGTCATTCCCTTTCGACATGCTCTGTCCACATATTAAGACCATAGCAGGCAATACCCAGTGACCGCAGCCTGGCAGGGCGATACCCGGTGACCGCAGCCTGGCAGGGCGATACCCGGTGACCGCAGCCTGGCAGGGCGATACCCGGTGACCGCAGCCTGGCAGGGCGATACCCGGTGACCGCAGCCTGGCAGGGCGATACCCGGTGACCGCAGCCTGGCAGGGCGATACCCGGTGACCGCAGCCTGGCAGGGCGATACCCGGTGACCGCAGCCTGGCAGGGGGATACCCGGTGACCGCAGCCTGGCAGGGGGATACCCGGTGACCGCAGCCCGGCAGGGCGATACCCGGTGACCGCAGCCTGGCAGGGCGATACCCGGTGACCGCAGCCTGGCAGGGGGATACCCGGTGACCGCAGCCTGGCAGGGCGATACCCGGTGACCGGATGGCCAGTTCCGGTGATGGTCACATGGTGCGGTGCTCACCTTGGTGAGGTGGTTGCTGTCATACTTGTCGTTCTTAAACACGGTAGCATTCCGGTGCTTCTGAGGCCGCGATCGCTGCACGTTTCCTCTCTGTGAACTCATGTTGTTGAGTTTGGCCCTCGCCGGTGCCCGTGAGAAGAGAGCACACCCCTCCTTCCTCTACTGTTGCTAAGCAACGCTCCAGTCCAGACTTTCCATTGGTCCGCTCTGCTGTCCGTCACACGCGCCCTCCCTCTACTCACGGCTGTCCTGCCCACCGCCATGCCTAATAGGCTGCTACCAAATGTGACGTCATCCACACCCTGACCCTCCGATTGGTTGTTGGCGACGCTAGTGCCACGCCCATCACCAAAAGTTCTGCCTGCGCCTGGGGGCCGCCTCTTCCTTCTCCTCTCCGCTGCCAGTCTCAGTGCCATCTCCGCGGTGTCCGCCTGCAGCGCTTCCTGTTCCCGGGTCCCCTTGGCTTCTCCTCCTCTCCGCCTGTACTGGATGGACCTGGCTCGCGACCTCCCGACACAGTGACGTCACCATTCAGCGTGTGACTTATTTCGGAGAGTGACGTAAACATTCGGGAGACCGCGTCTGGGTTATGACGTGTGGTGAGCGGCTTGAGAATCGGTAACGTTATTGGCTGCGTGGAGTGACGTCACGTTGGTCCCTCCCTCACACAGGCTCACAGCTCCCCCTCCCTCCCCGCCTCTCAGCTGCTGCAGTGAGCGGTGTGCGCGGTGCAGGTCAGTACTGGGCACTGGGGGGTGGGGGCAGCCAGGTACCCGCAGTGTGCCCGGCACAGCTAGTGTCAGTGTGTAATACTGTGTGTGACGTGCAGTGATAATAATAATAGCTGGATACAGTGACCCCCCATCCTGGTCCTCAGAGCACAGACAGACAGACACACACACACAGACAGACAGACAGACAGACAGAGACACAGACAGTGCAGGGTTCTTCAGGCAGTGCCCAGCGCTGTATCTCCGGGGATGCTGAAATCAATCTGCACTCAGCTGGGAACTGCTGGCCCTCCCCCTGTGCTTTCTATGAAGCAGCCGGTAACAGGCTGGCTGAGCATCATAGGAGCCGCAGTCCACCATTGCTAGAGAGCTAATGGCGGAGCACTGCTGGTTTAACCCCTTAGCCGCCGGTGGTATTTTTACTGAAATCTAATTTGAGGTCCAAACCTTAATTCCACATTAGAATGTCTTGTATAGAGTATCAGTGATGGCTCCGTGCAGCCCTGCGGATCTTAAAGGATTAGGACATTCCATAATGGACTAGGATACTATATATATATATATATATTAGTGGTGAACATTATCTGTCTCTAAGGGTGGATGGTTTACGCCACTAGACTAGGAAGATGTTGCTTCAGTATGCTGCCGTTATAAACCCGTGCTTTCATCTTCCAACTAGAAATCATTTGCTGCTGTATTTACCTTTTTATTACATTGTCATTTTATTTACGTATCACCCACAAACCAATGCAGTGCTTAACTCTAGTTCAGAAGGTAAAGGAGAGAGTCCTAGTCAGTTTTGCTCTTTGAGTAGAGATGTACACTTTTAAAAATGTATTAGTAATCCGCCAGTGGCCACACAATAACAGTACAGAACCATTGTGTTTTCCACCTAGCTGTAATTGTGAATATCCGTGTGCTGATGCTGTATATTTGGTTAATTTGGGAAGTGTAAGCACACATTGAGCTATCTCCAGTACAAGTTTATAAATGTGTGGGTTTTATTTGGGGGTGGGTTGCATAAAATGTCACAGGCTGATTATTAATCTGCTAATAATTTTCTTTAGCAGTGCTAATGAATGGTTAGCAGAGTACAGCCTTTCACCTCACATACTCTGTCCTATCCTGTCCTGGGTCCGCCATGCCATCTTGGCTAATTAGAAAGTAAGGCTCCAAAAACATAAACATGATTTTAGTTTTTGAAGATTCCTGTGACCTTAACTAGGAATATAAATCTTGTGTTTAAAGTATTTCCTAATCTGTACCTTGGCCAGACGTCTGGATGAGCTAGTCTGTGAGTAATAAAATGAGTATGCTAAAATGGGACTCTATATTGTTATACATTATAGTACCAACTAAGGTGTGGAACATATAGAATTTGTTTTTAATTGTGATTCATTTAAATTACTATTATTAGTGGCAGCATTCTTTGTATACTGCCAACATATTCTATAGCGCATTTCAATTTGAAATGTTCTATTTAGAGGTGAAGAAGGCCTTGCTTACAGTCTGAGAGGATTTGAGGTAGGGGGATACATATCCTTAGATGTATTGCCCAAGAACACTTACTGGTGAGGTGGTCTGACCAGGATTCTAACCTGGGTTAACAAATTGTAAGGCCGTAATTTTACAATATGTCATAGCTATGTATTTTATTTGTATATACAGGTAACTGAATGTTTTAAATGAATTATGTTAATAGAAAAATATATTCACAAGATACCAAAGTTGTAATGTGTTCACAAAGGCTTTTTTGCTTTACAGAATATGTTGGCACTCTTAGTGTATCCACCTGGAATTATTTTAAACAATATTCCAGCCTCAGGCAATGGAAACAAGTAGTGTAGACTGTCTGTGTCTGTAGGCTATACAACGTAAACACCATGTACGCTCCTGTCTCTTCCATTGGTTTTATGTCTTGATACTAACATGCCTTTTGGGTTAAAAATGCAACCCTTCAGAACTAATCCTGGGAATGGCGAGAATAGCAATCTCTCAGGAACAATTGCCATTACCACGTCCTTTTTCATTAGGAGGGGGAAGAATTTTAGCCATGTCAGAGCAGCTCTGTGTACTTTAGGATCTATTCATTTCACAGGCAGTTATTAAAGTAAAAAGACATTGCAAAACTTAGGCTTCATCCATGTGACCAATGGCATCTAGCCAAAAGCTTTGCATTTGTCTGTCTAAGGGATTTTTAGGTCAAGTAAGTCTCTACTATACACACAGGTTTAATTTGTTGGAATCCTTCAGTATATATTGAGGATTATTAGAGCTTGTTCTGGTAATTAGTCTGCAGAGCATATCACGATCTGTCTCATTGGAACTATCACTAAGCAAAACTGATGTTTGTAGATATAGCCTGCATTGTCATTACATATTGTTCTGCATTGCCTCCCCCCATTTTCACATTGCATACAGCTTTGAAGAAATGTCCCTGCTCCCCTCCCCCACGGTCCTGCTGTCTGGCTTAGTATCCATGGAATGGGATGTGGGGGCTGGTGTGTTGTGTGGGTGGTAGTCACAGACTGATCCACCCTCTCTTCTTATGTCTTGCTGGAATTTTGCTGCAATGTGCATTTAAGAAAGCAGAATTCAGAACAATGCTTGTCTTTATTTAGATCTTGTAACACAGTAACAGGCTGATTATTTCTCTTGTATGGCACAAGTTTGAAAATTCTTTTAGCGTTCCTCATTGATCAGTTTACGTAATATGTAAGGCAGGTATGCTCTGTGACAAACTCCCCTTCCCACGTGAGTATGACACGAGCTCCTGGATGAGCCTGCTTGCCAGCCTCTTGCCCACAGACTATGGGCCCTCCAGGAAACCTGTAAAAGACTACCGAACTTGACCGACCGTTGGCACTGATTTCATGGAACTGTTTTGGGCATAGGACTATGTGCATGGTTGGTCAAAGTTATGACTTTCATGAAAATCCTAAACCGATCTGGGTGGCTTTATGGATATGTTGGTCACCCAGATCGGGGCTATCAGGGAATGTAACTTTGTGGGGTTTTTATGTGTTTTTAAATGTATTTTTGGGGTTTTGTAATATTGTAAGATTTTCTGTGCCTGGAGATACTTGTGTTAGTTAAGTTCCTGACTCCATTATCTCTCAGGCACAGAGTAAGAGTTTGTAACTTGGAACTAGTCCTCTCTGAGGTCCAGGAGGGATTATCCTGTTTGTGTGGGAGTGTCATGGGCGTGCTTAACTGTGTCTGAAATTGTATAAAAGCAGGTCATCTGGCCAGATTAAAACATTCCAGCTTGTACTCCCATAACTATGTGTCGTCTGGTTACTGGGAGGGGAAAGGACATAATCACTGTTCCAGCGTGGAGGATTTAATGGGGAAAGTCCTTGTAAGGACCAAAGCTCCCAGGATTGAGTGTCATCCAGTGCCTGGGAGCGGATAGTTCCCCCTTTTGGCTCCAGGACGGAGTGGTTCCAGGACCCCAGTCAAGCCACGGCGACTGTTGGCAGAAGTACTGCAGTTTGTCCCCTGTTCCAGCTAGCAAGCGGTCCTCAGCTGGGGTACAGGGAGGTCTGTTACATGCACTACATTCACTTTAAAGAACCACTATACTGCCAGGAAAACAAACTCGTTTTCCTTGTTATGTAACGTCTTTGGCCTTGCCGGGCTAAAGGGGTTAAACTCTTACCTTTCTCCCGCGGTGGAAAATCTCCTCCCTCTTTCGACGTCATCTGCTGAAACTGCTATGTTTACAGCTGCAGGGTTAACCCTAGATGGACCTGGCACCCAGACCACTTCATTGAGCTGAAGTGGTTTGGGTGCATATAGTGGTCCTTTAAGTTTACTTCCTTTTTGTGTAGAAACAATTTGCAGAGACTGATTTCTATCTATTAAATAGTTTTTTAAAGATCATTTTCCCTATTCATTAGAGAAGCTGACTTGTTTGCTGGCTGAGAATGTTGAGAAATTAATCCACATTTGCGGTATCAAAAGTTAGCCATTGGTGTCCTGGAATGTCCTCTGATTACACAACTTTTTAATGCATGAATCTGCTTCTACACAATTATGTAATAGATTCAAGAATAGTTATCTTCATCAGTGTTTGGCCAGTATTACAAAAGTGTCTAATATTAAGTTAATCAGGTTTATATTTTGCTAAGGTGGAGAATTCATTTGTGATGGACTACTGTCTTCTCAAATCTCACCAGATATAGTTTCTGGTCATTAAGATTCCTGTTTAATACCAGGTGTGTAATTTCATTATTCAATAGACCGTAAGCAAGCATGTAGATCTATAGAAGAGACAAAAATCCATGCTTAATGGTGTGATTCCACTGCACTTATGTATACCGGTAATTGGATATCTTGAAAGTGAGGACAAAATCCTATTTCAAAAAC